GAATGTAGGAAATGGCATCTACTTCATTCAAAAATCTTCAAAACAATGAAGCTCTGAATTTACTTAACCAAGCTATAACTGTTTTCCTTAAATCGAGCTGCTACATTTACTAAACTCGGTTAAGTGAAACCAACTGACATAACTTGGTACATAAACATTTTCTTAAATGATGAATTCTGGTCATGTTTAAGGAGTTCAGTTTGAAAGTAAAGAAGTGAAAATATCATTTTTATGTTTTGAATGTAACAAAATAAGAGTAAAAGTTACAATAAAAAAATAATACTTGGTAAAATTACAGATCCTCCAAAAACATTTATTATTACATTTGAAGTGCTTCCACATTGAGCAACTTTTACTTTGAAAACCCTCACCGGAACAGCACCGAGGTGGCGTCATGTTTGACTTGACAGGTGGCAGGCGGGAGAGAGAGAGAGACGGTCCTGTTCGCTGTCTCTCTCGGTCCGTTGGTCCATCCCGGTGCCCATTGTCTCCCCCTCCTTTTTTAACCCCCTCCACACGTCTTCAAGAGACAAAMCCGAGATGACAAACTGAGCCTCGCTTTTGTTCCGCTCACAACGCCTTGTGCGTGTGACTTCACTGGAAACGAGATTTTATTTTATATAAAACGTCAATTTTTTTTCCTGCCCGCAATTTCTCAGTGTTATCATCTTTTCCAATGTCGACATTGTAAAGTGTTTTTGTGAATTAACGGAGCAGGAGGGTGACGGTTTTGACAGGAGCGGTGTTATGGACCTGATGGGGAGTCGAACCGGCGGAGGAACCTCTGAAATCATCCTCCACACCGGCTGCTGACACATCGCAGGATCCCTATTGTCTCAGTGGATAAGTCCCAGTGTTCAGAGTGAAAAACTCTAATAGAGGCGGGTTGGAGATGAAGAAGAGAGCCGCGTTTTGGTGGAGGATGCTGCCGCTACATGTCTGTGACTCCCCCTGAGAGAAGAGGAGAGCAGCCAGTCTGGGGGAGGAAATTAAAAAAAAAAAAAAGAAATAAAAAAGGAGACAGAGACCACTTCCACTTGTTTTCTCCACCTTAAATTAGGCTCTTTTAATCACACACAAGTGGCGCTTAATCGGATTATTCAAGCGAGCGATCTGAGAGATTGTGGTATTATCTCCAGCTAAGATCTCCATCTGTCTGTTTTGATTTTCCAGCGTCCAAGTAAAGTGGCTGCTGTGGAGGATTGTGTGCCATTTCAACACGGATAAGGATGCGACTGAACGAAGTGATCCGGATTATTGGTCCAGTAGGTGATGTCTGGACAAGTGGACCCTGAGCAGGTGTAACCTTTTTAATCTTAATTGCAAATGTTTTTTTTTATTACATCAGATTGTTTTGATTAGTTCTGCATTAAAGGGAATCTGCAGCAAACCTGCCGATTATTCAGTGGATACATCATTTGTGGACTTCAATTGACCCCTAATCCCACCTCTCTGTRATCCCTGACCTGTTGGAAAATCAGAGAACCACTTCAGACTTCCTCGAACATCTGAATAAAATCATCACCTTTGATTGCTCTGAGCACCAGAGGGAACTGAGGCTCTGTTTCTCTGAGGCCGGTCTGCCGGTGCTTCTCTCTGGGCTTCAGCCAAACGGGCCCTCTGTGGAAGGGCTGGAGAGATTTTTGGAGAGTTCCTGCTCCACGTGGACCTCTGCCCAGAGGGCGGAGGACATCATGGGGTGCTGTAGTGGCAGGTGCACCTTGGCCTTCATCTGTGGCATGCAGCTGGTAAGTGCTAAGATTACTATTGATCCTGCGAAGACTACRATCGATTTAAAAAAGAGGTCTTTTAAAAAACCTTGTAAGAGCTCTGCAAACAAACAAGTGGTTGTGGGGACACATGGAAGACGGATCCTCACGCTGATGACATGGAGCTGGGAATGGGCAGGGAGCACAGTAGATGGATTACACAAAGGTCACAATTTTAGAAGTTAATAAGTGTCTGAAAGCTCATATGAAGTGTTATTGAGATGGACRAAACGAATGGGAGCCATACGACCATGAATCTACCTTGACCTTTGTTGGATTGAAAATGATAGACACCAGCATGGAAAAGATAGGTTTTGTCTCGTTTGACATGAGGTTCATGCAATACAGAACAATGTGGGGATGGCACACAGAGTATATCTGACATAAACTCAAAGTCTCAACTATGGGCACACCTGGTTGATCACTGATCTTAAAAAAGCCTGAACTGACGATTATGGTTTTGGCTAATACCTTTTTTTAATAACTGACACTGTCAGGTGTTAAAAGGTCACAATACCCCTTCAATGTTCCAGTCTTGCAGCACTGTGGCTCAGTTGGTAGAGCTGATGCCTCTCAGCAAGAATGTTGCCRGTTCAAATCTCAGCCTGGGGACCTTTGTGGGTAGAAAACACCCCCCAAAACACATTACGGCAAAGGCTGGTTCACCCCAAAGATCCGGTGCCCCGGCACAAACAGAGCAATGTTGTATATGCTGTTAAGTGCCAGGAGGACTGCGACCAGTTATACATCGGGGAAACAAAGCAGCCACTGTTCAAAAGAATGTCCCAACACAGACGAGCTACATCTAATGGCCAGAACTCTGCAGTTTTCACTCATTTACAGGCCAGCGGTCACTCTTTCAGAGATGAGGATGTTCTCATTCTTGATAGAGAGGAACGTTGGTTTGAGAGAGGAGTAAAAGAAGCCATTTTTGTGAAGAAAGACCGTCCATCATTAAACAGAGGTGGAGGYCTCCGTTTTCAGTTGTCCCCCTCCTACAGCGCGACCATTGCCAGTATCACTCCACCCCCTGTTAACAATAAGTGTTAATTAGGTGTCAACGATAGCCATGTGATGTGAGTATCAGTCACATGGAGGCAGGGCTTAAAAGCCTGAATTTTGCCTGAAACTCTCAGACTGAAGAAGTCTCTTGGAGGAGAGACGAAACGTTTCATTAGAGAAGAACCCGTCCAGAAGACCTACACAATTTTTTTCTTTTTTTTCTGGGTAGAGTTTGCATGTTCTCTCCGTGCATGTGTGGGTTCTCTCCGGGTACTCCAGCTTCCTCCCACAGACCAAAAACATGACTGTTAGGTTCACTGATAACTCTAAATTGTCCCTAGGTGTGAGTGAGAGAGTGAATGGTYGTTTRTCTCTATGTGTGTCCCTGTGATGGACTTGCGACCTGTCCAGGGTGTACCCCGTCCCTTTCACTGTGACTGCTGGATATGGGCACCAGTGATCCACACGACTCTGAAAGGAATGAGTGTGTACAGAAAATGGATGGATGGATGTTGCGATCTTTTTTTTAAACATTGAACAGTACCCTTAAAACAAAACTTGTTTTAACTGGCTATTAGGTAGTGCTCACAGCAGAGCAAACAGATGATTTTCAGACCTTTATGGAGGTAGATAAGATCAGTGGATAAGATCAGCTTCTCGTGTAAGTATCGGACGATTGCAGATCTCCCAAAATTAAAAAAAAAAAGTTGATGCACCCATAGCCTCAGGAGTCGCTGATCTGTCCCTCAGTTTAAAGGTTCCTCTTATTGCCATCTGTGGCACTGACAATGCTACCAAAATAGAGAACAAGGCAGGAAGGGACAAAACTGCATATATATGTAAGCAACTGTACATCTAAGGCAACCCAGTGCTTAAGGATGTTTTCAAAAGTCATGATAAAAAAAACAGAGTAGGAGTAGTTTTTGGGGCGATTGGGTACATAATGTTAGTATTTTTTTATGTCACACTCTTTTTCCAGCTCATATTAGCCGAATCACTGTTCCTTGCCCCAACTGCCACTCCTAAAAAAAAAAACCCACTGTAGTCAAGTCACCTGCCACTCAAACCAGCAAACTAGCTTTTGATTTTCAACTTGACCCTCATCTTCTGACCTTTCTCAAACTGGGAGGTCTTTCTTTCACAAGGAAGCACTGAAGAGTGTGTTTGACCTGCTGGCAAAATGGGTTTTATGTTGATTAGAGGTAGACTGATTAATCAAGCAAACAATTTTAATTGGCCAAGATGGGCCGCTTTTAAAAAAAATAGGCAATCAGCCATATCTGTACATACTTAATCAATTTCCATGTAGGAAGATGACAAAGCAGCAGCAGCAGCTACATCCAGCTCACTGTAGCCCATAATTAATTTTTTGAAGCAAGCTCCTCTGTATGTCATATTTAAGCATTCAGGGTTTTTAAGAGTTGTTAAATGTACCTTTATTTAGGCTAAGCAATTGTCATATTTTGTTAACTAAAAATACATTTTTACCCCCAAAACACCTCGACTGCCTTGATTTCTAAAGAATAACATCGGCTATTGAGCAACTCRCATCAATCGACTTCTAATGTTATATCCCAATCTCAGAGACACTTGCAGAATTTCATTAAAAAAGGGAAAAGAGTAATTTTATGATGAAACAACCACAGCTTTGTTGTTTTTGTCTCTGCAGCAGGTCATGTTTTTGTCATGGTTAAAAGGGAGAATGGAGCACATCACGTTTTGTGGAGACTTTTGCGTCACAGTACCTTTTTAGATTATGAAAGCAAATAAGAAAAAACAAGCGAGAACATCTGAAACGTGTGTCCACCAGTGGCTTGTTGAAGGCATAYACCCAGTGAACTGTTACGCCCATGTTTGGATCTACACTAACTAGATGGCTATAGCTTAACAGAGTCGTTTTCTGTGTGGTAACTGATCTAAAAGGAAGCCTAAATGGGAGCTTGCATGTTGTCAGTGGTGTTGATTTATTCATCCGGTCCCTTCACTTCATTCAGAATGCTGCTGGGTGATGTTGAAACAGGAGCTGACTAAATATGCTGTAGTACAAGTGGAGCTGGGAGCAGAAATTGCCCCACTTTTGTCCTATAAATAGTATTATCAATTATTATTAGATGGCATGGTTCAAATTAACATATCTATAATCAGTTCAAAGCCTCTAATACCATATAGAACACATTATAAATATTAATTATGTAATATTTGATCAAAGAATTGAAAAAACTTTTAATTTAAACATTTGTTCTTATATGTGTGTAGTTTTGCTTTCACCAATAAGAGCACATTTCAAATGAGAAGGCATAAGAATGCAAACAAAATTATGTTTTAGGAAAACAAGATAATGGTTGAGAAAGTGCTCCAGAAATATGAAGGTTTAGAGCTCGTTAATTTACAGATCAAACGTTTTGCACAAATCAGATTAAGAAATGTTTCCCTTTAACAAATCCTTATAAAGAAATAATAAGCAGTCAGTGGATATTGTGTCTTGAATTATTCCTTTTCTGCTAAAACATTGTTTTAATAAAACTAGCGTTTCTTGCAGGAATGTACATTGTTTACCACCTCGTATGTCAAAATTTTAGATAAAGATTTTGGGGATTTGCTAGCACTTATAATGTGTTGGGGATGACTCTAAGCTATGGAAGAACATTGCATTCATCAAAGGAAAAGAAAATAGACTCCTGATCAGGACTCTATTTATTTCCTTTGGTGAATTCAATGCTGTTCCGATAAGCTACTAACACAGCAGGTTTTAGCTCAATATCTGTAAAATTGACAGAATTACAGAGTTGTTTTTGCTACGACTAACCAGTTGTGACAGTGTTCTCAAATTGAGCTGACTCCAAAAATTAGCCAGATGTAGATGCACATCAGATGATACGTTTCTGAGGGTTTCATTAAAATCTGTGCACTGGTTCATAACATATATTGCTAACAGACATCATTACACGACTCTGTGCCTCTCATGGCTTGATCAGACATTTTTCACGTTGACCAGGAGCCATTAATAAAGGGCAGAAAAACAAATAAAAATAGTGTTTTTCAACCACACTTATGTAAACTGGACACAATTATGAAATGCATTTAAAGAACAACTCTTTTTCTATTTGCTTGCCTGTAAAGACACTAAAAACAGAGTTAATCACAAATACAAAATGCCTCTTCTGTGGCATTTCCAGCTTAATCACTCATGTTGTAAGTATGTGACCTATTGCCACGTTGAATAGGACACTGTTACACAACGTGCAAAAATAAATACTCGAAAATCACCCAATTTTCTAAAAGATATTGTGTGTRCGAGCTAATGTGAGAGTGTGTGCTTGTAAAAGGCTTATTGTGCTGTGAAATAAGACATCACTGTTCACGCTTTTATCGGAACAAGAGCTACAGCTGTGTAAGGGAAACACATCCACATCAGAATGCTAATGATATCGTCACATGTGGTGCACATATGAAACACAGGGCTGCGCTGTAAATGGGGACGCTGTTCAATCCTATTGGTGTTCTAATTGAAGTGCGTGTTTGTGTGTGCGTGCTTGTGGATGAGATTCTGTCACAGAGATAGTCATTGTGTCTAATGCAGTGGAACTAATGCTATGCCGTAGTCAACAACATGTTTTGCTCTGTTAACTGTTGTAATAGCTAAGCCAGCTGATGCCACCGCTAGCAGAGCTGGAGGTCGAACACTACTGTACGTCACAGCTCGGTTCTGCACGGTTAGCTCGGCTGCCGTTTAGGCGAAAAGCCTCCTGATGATGAAATCTGTGTCTTAACTAAAGCAGCGTTCTGCTCTCAAAGGGTGTTTGAGATGTTCAGATATTGAGGTCTTGTTGATCATAAATTAAGTTTGTCTGAGTCGTTTGTCTCTATGTGTCGCTGTGATGGACTAGGGTGTACCCCGCCTCTTGAACACCGACTGTTCGAGACTGTCTGCCCCACATGACCCGGAAAAGCGAAGCGGGTTTAGAAAAAAGAAAAAA